AAAGCCTGCATCTAACTGATACTTGGACCCTATCCTCAAGTCAATAGCAATATTTTTATTCCATTATTTGAATAGGAACAGAATCAAATCCTTGAAACTGAAAGCATCAAGGTTGTTCATTACTGAGGAAGTCACAATACTCAGTAAATAATAATTGGCTTCTCCTAAATGGTAATGTAAGAAGCAGAGTAGTTGTTGAGAGAACATTATGTGACTATTATACTCTTCATTTTTATGGAACTTATCATTGGATCTCAGTGCATCCCGGTGGTTGGTTGTCCTAAATCCCTCTCTCTTGTATTCCATATTACTTTAATTTGCAAGTTATATGTCTTAATTTAATTTAGCTGACAGCCAAACAAGACACAGCCACTCACAGCAACCCTCCACACTCCCCTCCCCCGCCACCGGCTAGGGGGCAAAACCCAGGACATTATAAAAGGAGGATAATAGAATTTCCCCATCTCAAAGTACTGCATAACTCTGTACTTTTACAATCTTCAGATGCTCAAATATTGTGGTACTAAGGAGATAATAATTGTTTACAGTCACAATGGGAATAGAAGTGTTTATCTGTTAGTCAACACAGATAGTCATTTAGGCAGGTAACCCAAGTCTAAATTTCCATATGTTTTGCACTTCCAAAGTGGTCAGTGAGGATGGGTAATGAGGTTCTTATTCAAACATGTGAGAATGTGGGCTTTGCATCAATGCTTAAATGACATATCTGATTAAAAAAGTAGGACATACTTGAGGACATAGTTATTGAAAGTAATCCTGAGTGATATGACTGGGTTTACTGAAAAATAAGAACTTACAGATAAGTTAAAGTGCTAAGTTTTGTCATGTGGGATAACATTCTTGATGTCAAAGACATTCCTTAGTTTACATAGCATTTTTAGAATAATCATTGCTGAAAAATCTGAAGCCATTAGAAAGAGAAAAGCTGAGTAAATTTCATAATCTTCTTTTTCAGCATCAATTACAGGGTTTTTGTGTCTACTAAAAATTTCTTCATGGCAAAGCCAAAGGCAGGATAGAGATTGCCACCCAGGAGTTTGTTAATTTTCCCCAGTCTGCTTCAGAGCAAGAATTAATTGCTACTTCTTCCTCTGCCTTCTTAAATTTCAGATTTGTCAGTATCATTTTATGCTTACTCTATAGTATACTGTTTATTTAATTCCTTATACTCCAGGAAAAATATGCAAACCGTTTAAACCTGATCTACTTTCACCTGATGAGAAGAGGCATACGATCAGAGCAATAATGTGGTCCTAAATTTAGTTAATTAAATGAGAGCCATTTGTTAATGGTGTTTCTTTAGAATATCCTGATATTTCATGTCATGTTTTTCAAAAGGGTTTATCTTAAAACCTATGCATTTTTATGAAGTTGAAGTGGTCTCTATTTTGTGTTATAAGTTAGAAAAAACTGTTCATAGTCTTCACTAGAAAAACATATTTCTAAATCACTCAGTGCTGCCTAGGAATTGTGACTGAAAGCCACAGGGGGCTCATCATAGGTACTGTTTCAGTTTTGCCTCATGAGATGTATCAGTGTATACTAGGTACTTTTTAAAAGCTTTGCAGTGGTCTAGGATTTAGAAATTGTATCCACTTCCACTGAGAAAAGTCAGTACGTTATGTATTTCAAAGCACTAATATATTTGACACTGAATAACAGATTCCATAAATAGCTATTCTAAAAGCCTCTTTCCTGAAATAAATCCTTGCTGAGCAGGAATCACAGTTGTGCTTTCCAGTGGAGTGAACAGCAGACATGAATATTTCTTACCTTATAAGAAATAAACAAAGCTTATTATTTGTCTCTCTTCAAGCTTATTAAAAGAAAATAGCTTAGGTTTTTCATTGAAGGCTGGTTAGACATTTTATTTAGCAATATATGTATATACATATCTAAAATATATATAATCTCATTGGTGAGAACATGCCATATTTAAAAATAATTACAGTTTCTTAAAGTTACATTTTTTTTTTCAGTGATAGGCATAATTCATTAGATGAACAGGTTATTACTGATGTATCATCAGTGGTCTGTCCTGTATCTCTTCTCCTCTGCTTACATGGAGAACAACCTGAAAAATATTTAGAGCAGGTATAGTTTCCGGATTTACTGTTTATTATTTAGCCCTTCCCTCTTACTCCTTGTAGTTTGAGGCAGTTCACTTAAAATATTTTTGTGTGCAGCTGAGCTGTAAGGCTGCAAATTTTTTGCCAAGGTTTCTCTTACTTTTTATGGTGGGGGGGAATGTGTGTGAATCATTTACAAATTAGCTAAATACCTGTGAAATACCTTGCAGCTGAAGCCTGCCAGTCCTCAGATGTACTTACTGAAGTAATTCCTCACTCATTTTTCATATTATCAATTCTATGGTAATGATGAATGATAGTAAAAAAGAATGAAATAAAATGTGGACTGGGAAGCACAACTGTGCTAAAATCAGGAGGGAGCAACTAAGAGAGCATAAGGAACTGAAAAGCAGGTGACAGAAAGTGAGAGATGGTGCCTTGACCTATAATTAGAGGAGGAAAAAAAATAAACCAAGTAATAAAAAATGAATTAAAAAGAAAGAAGTAATTACTGAAAATGGAAGCAAATAAAAATCCCTCTTTGTCTCTTCACTAGGCTTAGAAATATTATTTGCTAAATACATTATTGATACAATAAACCTCAAGCTGTTAATATAAGGTTTGTTTTATGTGAGTGTGCATGTCTAAAAGTCTATTTTTCCTGACAATTTTAGAAGGCAAGTACAAAAGGTATTTCAGCACAGCCAATACGAGTGCACTTCTTTTAAGTTAATAACTGTAATGTTGTATTTTTTCCTCAAAAAAAAAAAAGGATCCCAACTTTAGCAACTTCTTGAAAGCTACAATTTCCTAAAGAAAAATACTCCTGAAAGAAATGAGAAATTCTCAAAATTTTAAATGCATTTGTATGGGTATCTTTATCAATAGACTGGAAGCAGACAGCTCTGGAAATGTTCAGTTTATTAAAAGAACAAAAAAAAAATACACCATCAGTAATAAAATATGCATAATTCTTGCTTCTGCTCCTCAGACTGGAATGGGACACCTGCGTGTTACAAAAGAAGGCCTTCGTCTGGAAGGGGAATCGGAATTCTTATTCCCTCTTTATGCCAAAGAAATCCATTCTCGAGTGGTAAGCAGATAATCTTTCAATAATGCTAGAATAAAATTAATGTACTTATGAACAGTTGAATTTAAGGCAAAGTCCAGGCATCTGTCATGGAAAAAAAATATATATATGTGTGTGTGTGTGTGTGTATACACACATATTTTTGCATACTTTACAAGCATGATCATTAGGTCAATGTTCTGATGCTATGACAGAATTAACATTTTTCTCGTAGACATATGATAAGACGTAGCTCAAAAAGGAATTACAAAGATCATTGTATATAAGTAATGCTAAAATTTTAAGAGTGTGTACTAAGTTTTTAATTATTTTTACTGAGATGATTTTTTAATGCCGGCTTCCTTGTGAAACTGCTTGTTTTGTTTATTCATCCATTACAGAATAGTTTCAATATCTCTAAAATTAGTGGATCCTATTGGAAAAGTTATGATTTGACTGATAAATTCAGTTTTTGTCACTTCTAGGACAATGATATTAAATCTATGATATCTTTACAAATTTATGTATATAAAATCTACAAGACTAAGTATAGGATTTAATCTTGTTTCCATAGACATATAATTTTATTATTATTATTATTATTATTATTGAGGTATGCGTGGACTAACGTACTTGATCAAAGAAAATATTTCTCAAGCAGATTAAAATGGCACTGAGAATGGGTGTGGTATGAAAGATTTTTATTGAAGTACTGGGTTTAGAGTAAGGAAGAGAGAATCCGAGTTGGTTTGTAATTATCCAGGTGAACTCTGAAACTTACTCTGGTGAATTTTTTGTAGAGCAGTATCTGTTTCTGGACAACAAAATTACTATTTTTTAGAACTATCATCTGTAATCCAAACTCTTACAAAATAAAGCCATGTTTTATTAACATTGTCATCAACCAATGGGACATTTCATTGAATAAAGTACTGTTCAATTATAGTAAAAGCCAAATATGGCTTTTTCATTACTTCAAACATGTAATCGTCCTCACAGAATAGCCAGCTGTGAGACTTTTCTAAACCTAGGGAAAAAGTTAGTGCTGCTTGTATCGCTATAGCAGGAGAAAATGTAAATAAATTTATCAGAAAGCATAGTTAATATAGAATTTAAGATGAGACTTAAAATTCTTGATTACTGAAATTTAAGCAATGCCAACATATTTTACGTCTATTAAGCCTTTCTTTTTCTGTCTTTCTGCAACAAGCATTTCCAGCCGCAGGAACAGCTCTTACATAGACAGTGAAATTCCACTACTAAATCCATTTTGTTTCTTATGCTGTATTCTTCTCTGCCTCATAGCCAGTGGGAAGACTATTTATGTGCTTAAATTAATTTCTCTTGCAATTGTTTATGCAGTAAGATGTGTAACTTTTTAAGACCAGCATAGCTAATACTTGAGAACCAGGCAATGTTAAGCTACCATTCGTGTTCTTTTAATATTCCTTCTAGCTCTTAATACATTTAGTGTAACAGAGGAAGAAGGAGGTGTGGCAGCATCTAATATAAGCTTAGTTGTCTAAATGACCCATCGTGATCATTAGTAGTATGCATTAATTAGAACCTTCTACTGCATGTCTCTGTCCCCTATGAAGTCATAATTCATCAGAGGTTTTTTTGTTTGTTTGCTTCCTTTTTAAAATGTTTGAACTCTCCAGAGGCTTAATTGCCTGTAGCTTGATCTCCTGAGTGCCATCTATATGTTTATTCTCATAAAGTTGCTTGTTTGTTATGATTTATTTTTCTAAGTTATAGAATTGGGCCAGTCAGCTATCATAGCAGCTTTCTCCCTTGCCTTAATAGTGTTCTTGCGTCTTCTAACAGCTTTTCTCACCTAATGAGGTCTCCAAAGTGATAAGAAAATATGTAGCAGAAAATCTACTTGCTGTGCATCATCTCTGGAGCCTATTACAAGTATATGCCTTCATTATGAGTCCAACACAGAGTTGTGGACAATACCGTTGCATCTTAGCTAATACATATTCATGGGAAGATAAAAGCTAAGCATTCATAAATATGTTATTAGATTTTAATTAGTCAACAAGTCACAAGTGGAAGCTGCAAATCCAGAATACAGTTTATTTGCACTTAAATTTGATATTACAAATTACTAACTTATTTTTTAAATCAACCAGTGGCAGTCAAATATGTGTAATAGAGATGCCCAGATTTGTGGGTCATTTGGCACATGTACTTAGATGTTACAGATTTACCAGATCTTTGTTGACCTTCCTTTCCCAATTCATAATTTTTACCATTAATGTTCATTCTAACACACTGCTTGGTTTTTTCCTAAGACTTTTCATTATTTGTGTTAATTCTGTTAACTTTCACTTTTTCCTGATATAATTTACAAAATGAGATTCATTTATTGTGCTCACTTAGTGACTTTTTTGTTATAGCCTATCTTCCTACTTGTAAGATACCATTTTTTAAAAAAAGTGTAAGTAGTACTCAAAACTCTGTATTGCTTCTACCACTGTTATTAGGTGTTTGTAGTAAAATTCTTCACATAAAATGTGTTCACATTCTCAAGTTATCTCATACTCTAAGCATTAGATTACAATGGGAACATGATTTGGGAGTGATTTTCAGGGATTAGCCCTTCAAGGTGCTGCATCCTCTCTCTTGAGTCCAGAAAAATTACCAGAAGCCATATATGTGAAAGAGGCTGATCTTTAACAATATTCCAGTAATCAGAAGCTCACTTTTTTATCTAGAAATGAATATTCCCTTCAAGGTCACAAGCAGACAGCTTGCTAATATCCTCTTCATATCACATATCCCCTGATACTTTGGCAACTGAGATCTGCTTAGGCACTCTTATCAGTTACTAGGTTCCTGTCCTTTAGATATAAAGTATGCTTTAGTATGAAGGCACCTGTACTGCAAAAAACTCCCTCCCCTCTTTTTAAGTACACCAGTGTGGCTACAATTTGCTGATCAAACTGAACATGATCAGACATGATCAGATAATTATCTGATACTTAAAATCAAGTAAAGACAATGGCCAGTATTATCTCCCTAAAAATCAGCTGCATTTAAAGAGAATTCAGGTGGTAAATCAAAGAAAAACTTAAGAAGAACCCATTCAATTTCTTTCTCACAATTTTAGGACACTTCCAAATGATCCCTACCAGTTTTCTTGCCATGAGCCTGTTTCATGGCTCTCTATATCTAGTCTGATGGAGCACAGTGGGCAGCTACGTCTTTCAAAACAGTTACTCATCTACTCTTCACAACAAGCAGTGGGTGGCACCAACGGGCCTGAAGTACAGAGAGTTTGAGTGGGAGGTCTGGGAATAAGTAATGGAGTGGTACATCACCTGGGAGGAGTTGAACAAGCAGACCACTAAGCCATGAGTTAACACGAGGGGATGTTTTGGTTTTGGTGAAATGTTTCTGTGCTGGCTGCAGTCTAAGAATGACATGAAGTTTGAATTGCCTACCATAGCTAATCTGGATTGTGGTGAGGTGTGTTAGGAATGAATGAAGATGCCATACACCTGTTTGGCATTCCCTGGCTGCCATAAGTGGCACAGAATGATGGGTAGGCATGAGGCTCTGACTGCTCTGCAAATATCCCACCTGTGGTGCAACCTGGGACCATTCCTTATTGCCCAGTGTGTTTGGCTACTTGCCATGCCTCAGTAGAACATCTCACATACTTACTGTCAGACTGATGCAAGGTTGGAAGTCCAGGACAGCAGTATGGCAGGAAGAGTAGAGCTGGAAAAGACGTTGAGAAGTGAGATTGGAGAAAGGTTGTCAGGGACTTAAATATGACATCTGATGGGTGTCCTTTCAAGGGTGGTATGCTTTGCTTCAGCCTCTCTTCTTGAATCCTTTCTTTGAGTGAACTACATTTCTTTCCTCTTCCCTGGGCCAAATCTCCTCTTGCTTCCTGCCCCTTCTAGTATTCCTAACACTTACTGGAACTCTCCTAGGCCATGGCAGAGAAGTGAGTGAGAGTGGAAGAGGTTCAAGGTGTCATGGTTGGCCTTTTGAGTAGCAAAATTTATTTTCCAGTTATTTCAGGCTTGGATAGGGCATTGAAAGTTGTCGCTTGATTTGTTTGCTTTCCTACAACAAACTCAGATTTAACCTGGGACATTTCTCACCAGGGATTTGGCAGTTGTCTCACAGCTACATACCTCATTTAGCTCAGTACAGAATGGTCAAAACATCATATTCCTGTTGGTCATATTATCTTCTGTGTAAGTGTATAGTTCTACACTTCGGTTTCGGTTTTAACATTAAATTACATTTTTCTTAGGTCCTGTTGTAACCTGTCTATGACTTTCTGTTTTTCCTTAGATAATTTTCTAGCCACAAAGTTTTGTAACTGAATATGAGTCCCTTAAACTTTCATTAGAACATATGTTCCTTTCATTGTTTACATTTCTAATTATTCTGCTGAATCTACTGAATCTATTTTTTTTTTCTTGATACTTTAGGACTCGTCTCTGCTTCTCCAGTCTACTCACAACGTGACTGTGAATGCTCGCAATTCAAATGGGGAAGTCACAGGCAGATTAAATGTGGGTAAGTCTGAATGATTTTTCATTGTTCACTGTTTTGGAAACATTTTAATGAATTTTTGCAAGGAGCTTGGAGGATATAAAGAACACATGATTATTTTTTACCGTTATGACCATATCTGAATAGTCCAGCTGCCACTCAATAAGTACCAAAAGTATATCTTCAGTTTCTCAGTTAAGCATTAATTCTGTAAATATTTGAAGCACTTTTTTATTTCAGAGGTATGCAAGAAAGGTCACTGCAGAAGTTACTCTTTTTCTCGTGTAAATAGCTATTGATAGTTGCAAATCATTTTCTAAGAAAACGCAACAGGCGAACATGGCTAGAGAGGTCTGTATGTCTCTTTTCATTTCCTAGTATTTCAAAGAGTAATACATTTAAGCAGATGTTCTAAAAAAACCTGCCAGTTCACAACTTGGAAATCTACATATTTTATTATATTGGGTAGCAGTGAGACGCATGGGCTTACTGAGAGAAATCAATAGATCTAGACAGATGTAGTTGATAGATCTGGACAGCAAGAATCAGCAGACCTTACTCTTGAAATCATATTTTTAAAGCAACAATGGCAAAAGTATGTGTCAGACAGAACAGAATTCTTCTTAGTTCTGTTAATATTTTTCAAACTTTACTTGACTTTGAGGAAAAATATAACTATTAACTTGTTTCTTCTAAGATACTCATGCAGCAAAGCATAAATTCCTACTTATTTAACTGTAAGACAACATAATATGCTTAAGTAGTTTACTATTACAATTACTATTACAATTCTTGTTTGAAGAATTATCATATCAATTCACAGAATCACTGAATCATAAGGGCAAGAATGGACCTCAGGAGATCATCTAGTCCGACCCCCCTGCCAAAGCAGGTTCCCTACAACAGGTTGCACAGGAAAAGCATCCAGGCGGGTTTTGAACATCTCCAGAGATGGAGACTCCACAACCTCTCTGGGCAGCTTATTCCAGTGTTCCATCACCCTCACAGTAAAGAAGTTTTTCCTTAAGTTTATCTGGAACTTCCAGTGTTCCAGTTTTTGCCCATTACCCCTTGTCCCGTCAGTGGACACCACTGTAAAGAGCCCGGCCCCATCCATTTGTGCCCCGCATTTCAGGTATTTATAGACATTGATAAGATCCCCTCTCAGTCTTCTCTTCCAGGCTGAAAAGTCCCAGCTCTCTCAGCCTCTCCTCGTATGGGAGATGCTCCAGGCCCCTCATCATCTTTGTGGCCTCCGCTGGACTCTCTCTAGAAGATCCCTGTCCCTCTTGAACTGAGGAGCCCAGAACTGGACACAGTATCCCAGATGTGGCCTCACCGGGGCAGAGTAGAGGGGGAGGAGAACCTCTCTTTACCTGCTGGCCATGCTCTTTTTAATGCACCCCAGGAAACTGTTGGCCTTCCTGGCCACAAGGGCACAGTGCTGGCTCATGGCCAGCCTGCTGTCCACAGGGACACCCAGGTCCTTTTCCACAGAGCTCCTTTCCAGCCGGTCAGCCCCCAACCTGTACTGGTGCATGTGGTTATTCCTCCCCAGGTGAGGGAGCTGTTCCATCACCTTCCCAGGGACAGGTGAGGCTGACTGGCCTATAGTTGCCCAGATCCTCCTTCTTGCCCTTTTTGAAGACTGGAGTGACATTGGCTATCCTCCAGTCTTCAGGCACCTCTCCTGTTCTCCAAGACCTTTCAAAGATGATAGAGTGTGGTTCAGCAATCATTTCTGCCAGCTCCTTCAGCACTCATGGGTGCATCCCATCGGGTCCATGATTTTGTTTAGGCTATTCATTGAACATTTTGCAAGTTTCACTGTTTTCAAACAAACTTCAAATAAAAAATATAATTTATAAATTACAAAAAAGACTGCTATTCCCCTTATAAATGTATAATTATACAGATAATCACAATTTGGCATTGAAATGTTTCCAGATCATTCCTCTTTAAAAAATGCCCCTAAATATTTATCAAAACAAGATAGTAGCATTCACATCTCATTTTTATAATAATTGAGTATAAAATGTGCAGTACTCCTAGTTTCATATTATTAGTACGGTTATTAAACTGGATAATTGCAGTAATTAACCATACAGTGACCATATGACCAAAAACATACACGTCACATGGTCAAAATTCCTGTGACATGGCACATGTGCTGATTCTGTCTGTTTGACTGACCAGATGTGTGGTCATGTCCGTGGTCACCCTGGTCACGTGCCCATCCTGCCTGATGTGAAGAAGTTCTCAGGAGGCCCTTTGGGAAGGGCAGACCACAGAGCAGAACACTGGCCACCAATTAATCCATCCAACCTGATCCCTGCTGAAGTGTGAAAAACCTACAGGTAAAATCATGTTAGACAGTAGCCCAAAAGCCTGATGAATTGTTTGACGGGCTCTGTCCGGCCGGTGTGACATATTTTACTGAAAGGAAAGATACTTTAGGTGTTGTGCCAGTTGACATCTGTAGATCTTACCTTAGGAAAATGAAGCCTGGCAAAAATAACAAAAAATCTCAGACCCTCCTTTTTCCCTCTTTTCCCCTTCCCAGTCACAACATAGTCTTCTGAGAGCATTAACGAAAAGCAGTACAGAAAGTGTGATGGCATGCACTGTGTTAAATAAGTAGAAAGTTAAAAATACCTGCTCTGTAGAGCTTGAGATATGTAGATTGAAGACAACTTGTAAACAGAAGACCTGATAGACAGAGAAGGGTCACTGCAAACCCATGTTGTAGAATATGGACTATGGTGTTTAGGGCAGAGGGTTCTATTGGATGGGAACTGTCTCATCAGTAGTGACACATTTATATCATGTCCTACCTATACTTAGTATTTTCCTTCTTACTGGTAATTTTATTCTTCCACTTTTTATCACCTCGCTTTTCTGTCCCTATTACCAGTAGTGTATATTCCCAATGTTATTGTACCTTATGATCTCAAGCCTCTTTAAACTCTTCCTAAGAGAAAACTGAATAATTAGTGTTGTCCAGATGAAAAGTTGTCTGGCTATGCAGAGAAGCTGTATCTAGCTTAGGCAATATATGAGGAAACCAGTAGGAAGGAGCAGAATGTAGCCTGGAAGACCTGCATTTTGAATCCTTTAAAAATGTTCTGTGTATAAAGGCAATTCAAATTCAGCCCTGAAGCAGGAAAGTTCTGACAGCACTCTGGTTTGTTCTACAAGAAATACTTGGGTAAGAGGGTGAAATAATTATTTGAGCCTGGGAAAATCAAAACTATATCAAAAGGAAGTGCTAAAGTGCATTTGTATATTATTTGGAATATTTGATGTTTAAGTAATCTCTTTTTGACTGTCAATGCTGTTTAATGAATTTTTTAATTATTAGTCTTACATGCTGTGTGATGTAGTTGGTACTATTGTAATACTAATATGAAATATTACTGATTTTAAATAATACTAATTTTATACTGACAGAAAAGTATTGAAAGAGCAGTAAAAACTTAATGCTGTAAAGAACTCTGTTAATAACTAAAGATATGGTCAAACAACGGTGACTGGGCTAAGTGACAGCCTGTTAAAGTAAATGGCCATCTATACATAGCTTGATATTTTTAGCCATTGTCCTTAGCCAGTCATAAAATGCATACCTGTAAGATGATGTTCCCGTATAGGAAGTGTGAAAAATAGGTGTGTGGCTGATTTATTTCATATGCACAAACCTTTGCTAAAGAATTAATGCCTTCTGCAGTTGCCAGCATGCTGGAATTATGTTTTAATACTCTATTAATCTTACAAATATGAGTAGTTGGCATTGTGAAGGAGCTGTATAGATAAGTTTGGGATCATTCCAAAGATGACAGCATAAATAGTATCACTTATAAGATCATAACAAAAATACCTTTTAATTCATACAAGATTGTGATTCAAATGATCCGTTAAAATATTTTAGTAAGTTACTAAGAGTGATTTAAATATCCAGTCTTCAATAGAAGTAGTTCACAAGAGATGTGAAAAAAATCTTTACTTGAGAATAACAGGCACATATGCAAGAATGAGGTTTCTCTCATGAATCACAGATACTAAAATGACATCAAATGTGAGCAACTTTCACCATGAGCACTCTTGTATTAAAGTTTTTAGATGTTCCTCAGTTTACCTGCATGACACACCTCTTGCAGGAGTTATCTGGACATTGTAGCACTTTAAAAATGCTGTAGATCTTGTTGTGTTTTGGACTGTGTTCCATAACCACACTGCTTTCAGAAGCCTCACTGAATGCAAATACATTTAAATGCTTGCCAGGAAAACAATACTTTGAAAATAATAGGGATCATAACTTAAAAACCAAACCAGTTCTGTGCTTTACTCTTTTTTGACTTCAGTACCCTCTGGACGATAAAGATACTGTGGTGGTTTGACCCACAGTGGGACCATGCAGTCCTACATTCACCCCCTCCTAGCCAGTGAGAGGGGATAGTGGATGGGAGTCACAACAAAAGGGGGCACAAGATTAGGAAGGAAGGACAGAGATGGCTCACTCACCAGTTATGGTCATGGGCAAAACAGACTCAAACTTCGGGAAGAAAAAACAATTTAATTCTTGACCATTATCTAACTAGACATAACAACAACATCTTACAACACCTTCCCCCACCCCTCCCTTCTTCCCAGGCTTTGCTCTTGATTTCTGTACCTTCCCCCCTCAGCGGCACAGGGAGCAGTGAATGGGGGTTGCAGTCAGTTCACCTCTGCCACTCTTCCCAGCATGAAAGTCCAGGAATGAGATGTTCCAAAGCAAGCTTCCCATGGAGTCACAGACCTCTTCAGGCTCAGCTCTCTGCTTCAGCATGGGGACATCCATGGGCTGCAGACTCACCCCCCTACTCTGAGGGTCCACCCCTGCTTTGGCATCAAGCAGCTCTTGCGGTCCGAATTCCAGTCACACTTGCCCTCAGGGTCAGCTTCTCTGCTCCAGCGTGGAGTCATCCGTGGCCTACATGTGTGTCTCTGCTCCGCCATTGGATCTCCATGGGCTGCAGAACCTCCCT